CAATGAGAATCTGTCCCGAATGGGGGCCTTGGAAATTAACAAAAGAATTGCGAGCAGCACACTGTGATGGTAAATTGGTGAAAACGAGTAAACAGAATGGGAGCCAAGTGACAATAAAAACCAGGGGAATCTTTTGCGCACACAAAAAGAAGTAGTGTAATTGGGTGATGTGTCTATTTCGTGCTTGATTTACCTTTTTCGACTTGCCTCATCCCCAGAAAATGATCCAGAAAAATAGCAGACCACAGAATTTACAATGGATAATCTTAGCATATATATTTTTTGAATTTCAATCTTTTTATCAACTTGTGAGGTGAATTGTCCCATATTTTCTCTTTATTTTAACTGACAGTGACTTTGGTGATTGCTATTTAAACAAGGACAGTTATTGTATTATGATTAGTGATTAGGTCAGGAAAAATTCCACCGACCCCATGATGGTTTGGTAAAAAGCCATAAATTTTAATAACAATTCAACTTTATCAGCGATATACGGAATTCTGGATATTAAAAGCTGAACAACTTTGGCAAAGCGCAGTGAGAGGAGGGGGCATAAAAAAACAGATCCGCTTCATAAACCATACACATAGCGTATTGTACAGGTATGCGCATTGTGCCTCTGTTTTTGTTTTGTGCACGTGTGTGCGTGCGCGCAAGGAAGTTCTATTTGGTTCTTCTATCACAAGGATATCTCGGGAACGAGAGCGGGTGAGAGAGACAATATCGGTCCATGAAATATAATGCGTAGAAAAATTTAGACCAAGATAAAAAGAAATGAAATCTGCTTTGTTTAGCAAACAAAGAATCCAGTGCTGTGGAGGGTAGTGAATTTCTCGTGCGACTATCTGAAAAAATGATGATGGTTTTGGAACCCTTTAGCGAGCATGAATGTTAGCACGTGGTGAGTGGTGTGAGCGAATAGAATGAACTCCATCAGCTGTAGACGTCGAACTGCAGACCTGGGAGATTGGACCGTAAGACATACGCAAAAACACTTATGCGCGTGTGTTTGTGTAAGGCCATCTGTGAGGTAATGTCCGGTTTAGAGAAAGAGCGTCAATGGCGTAGAATGGTGAAAGGCATTCAATGGACAATCCGTATGACATGGCACGCGGTACCGTTTGACTGAGATGGTATGAGTAATTCTTCAAAACTATAGACTCATCCTCGTGGCCGATTATTCTGTTCATGTATGAAGTGCAATTGCGCACCAAATGGGTTGTCTGAAGGTATCGGTTGAAGCATTTCGGAAGATGAGTTTGAGCATTAGTTACAATTACTCACATTAGATCCGAAGTGTGAAAAAATGGCAATCATATGGTTGGATGGGCATCTGATACTGATTTGGTCAGGTCATTCATACTCGCTCGCACCCAGGCAGGGACGCTGACATTAAAGGGTGCACTGATATGTGCGATCGGACGACTGTGACACCTTCGCGCCGAGGGACCACCTCCAAAAAGACGCTTTTTCAATGACCGTGTACGAGATTTTATACGTGTTCTTTCTGGTTGTTCTGAGGTCATTGTTTGACACGAGGAAACCACCTCTCCGGCACGTTTATCGTTTGTGGTACACGAAAACAGACTGGTGAGACTGGTTGCACAGTTTGTGCGATTTGGATCTCCATCAAGTTCGCGTTCCAAATCGCTTACACTGCGACTGTGACGTGATGGTTTGACATCTGTCCGACCAGATACACAGCCCAATTCGTTTATAAAGGGACCACAGGTCTGGGTTCGATCGATCCCAGCTGGCGTCCCCGTGGGACCACATCCACTCCCACTGGTACTCCAGCCGATTGAGCTTGCATCTCCTGCCGTTGCGTCCGGATCAGTTCCAGGATGCTGCGAGTCGATGGAAGCGCTGCGATTTTTCCCATTTTCATTATGGGAAATCTGTGACCCGAGGCCACCAAATGACTCCGGTCGACTGGCACCGAGTGCGGGAATTCGTAAAGATGTGGTATGTGTTCGATTTGTTTGTTCTTGTTGTGAGGGCTGGCGATTCGGCTGACGATCTTCCTCGGATTTTTGGTACTCTTGCAGAAGGTTACAAAACATAGGTATAGCTCTGATCTGAGGAACACCCAAAGGGTTGGACAGCTTTTGTCGATGGCTGTAATTATTGAGCAGGGGTTCGCCAACCTATACAGAGAAGAAAAAAGAACTGTAAGCTTAATGTGCATACCAATCATCACTGGGTTTAAAATACTCCTTGATTATGTTTATATAATTAGGGATTGGAAAGTAGACCTAATTATTCAATGACTGATCAAAACGGCAGCCGGCCTCATGAAAACACCACTGATCGTCATTTTCGTGTTACCGCTTTGCTAAACCGATCACATTGGGGCTAACCAGAATTGATGATTGAGGGCTGTTTAGGTATGGTCTTCGATAACAATCAGTTAGTTCGTTCTGGTCTGACAGCAGCGAGCGGTTGACTAGCTGTTGATACGATCGTACTTCCCTCGACCTAATCAAGTCTTCTATACAGATTTGGACAATCGTGTCTCACTGAAATCTATGCTCGAATTAAATTAATATTATCTTGAAGTTACTTATGCGAAAATACGGAAAACGAAGATTGACGTGTGTGGGGTTAAAAAGTACTTATAATAGCTATCCATGCGTTTATCCTCTCTTCTTTTATGACCAAATCTAGTGGAAGAAACAGACGTCAGTATTGAGGAGATACGAAATGTTGTACACGAACCATTATTTTTCCTTTACATTCAGTCATATAAACGTATGGCATGAAAACCAACCACGGAATAAGTTATATCATATGATTAAAATTTCTCATTTACGTCGGTATCAGTAGCAGTAAGTCGTTTATGAAATCGTTTATGAAATCAGCTTTCCACAGGACTTAAAGCCCTGTCTGTTTAAGACAAGCAGCTCACAGAGGTTTTTCACGGTTGTGGCAGATTGTTGAAGACATTCACAAGGTACCAGATGGGGGTTGGTTCAGATGCCGGATTACACAGTTGTTCACTCTTAAGCACGCCCTATGAAGTTTTTGAGACACTATTCATTTGGTGATCCGCAAGTGGTACTACCATAGCTGATATTTCTTTGGTATGAGTCGAATATGATTTTGCTTTTCAGGAAGAGGGAAGACAAACGGTCAACTGAAAACCGTTGAACGTTGCATACATAATTGGTTCATGATCAAAGAGGTTTTCCTACAATCCACCCCGAACGACTAACTCAATGAGGTTTGTATTATGGTGTCTATGCCATGCAGGACATCAGATTACTTTAATACTCTTTCACAAGCAGCTTTCCACTCAAATGTGTTTTTATTCAGATATTCTTCACTCTTTCATTTCCAACACTCACATGTGTACGTTGTCTTCACTTAACTAACTATCTCAACTTATGTCTCAGTTTGTTCTATCCATGGGAAACCCTCTACATCCGATTTGATTGTTTTCTTCTTCCCCGTTGTGAAACAACTGCATCAAAACAAGGAATGTGCGTTTAAACCTAAGATATTTTATTTGATAAGGAGTCTATGAAAGTCAGTTAAGATTGAAATTTACTCTCCAACTTCCGTTTTTAAGCAACAGATTCTTTCAAACAAGAGCTATAATGAAATCCAATGAATATTTCAGAAGCTTTTGCGGTTATTCTGTTAGAGGGCGCTCTCCAACAGCGGATATTTAAGACTAACTAACCACAGGTATACTGAAGCGCTTGAATTCCCCAAGTAACTTAACCAATTCCTTGGGTGATCGACTCGACAGTAATAAGTGAAGAGATTAAATCAGTAACCCGCACAAGACCGGTGAGCCAGATGAATTGCAACCAGTTATGTTAAAAAATAAGCCAGTGCTCTGTCACCTCTTCTTTTGTGTTTTGCTGGAGAACAGCCAGCATGATATCAATTCTAAAGTCCGATTCTACCAATTTTACCCCTATAGATTGTACTCCGATCGCCCTGAAGATACTGAAAAAAAGTTGCCTCTAAAGTTGAACTCAGATGATTGTAATCAATTTGCCTTTCATCGTAAACGGTTTACCATTGATTCTTCAGCTTCTTCCAGTGCATTTAATTCACTCTATGAAAAATGTACAGCTGTATTAATCTTCTATTTAGACTATAGAGGCGCATTTGGAAGTGTTGATAAAGTTAAGATTCTGTCTAATCTTGCAAACCATGGAGTCCATCCACATACTACTACTCTCCCTAAATGACTACCTTTCATTTCGAAAACAACTTACACGCCACGTGGCAGGCGGCTCAGCCTAAACCTCGTCAGGGAGTCATTTTCTGTCCTTCCTGCTCCCTTTCGTCTAACAGAACAGTTTGTTTATGACTGCGTGTCATTACGGTAGCCTT